TTGCTAAGTCAGATATACAGAGAGGAAGATCTTCTGTCTGACGATTCATTCCCTAAGTGACTGCAACGGCCACAGGTATGCCAATCCAAAGCCAGGAGCCAGGAACTTCTTCCAGGTCTCCCATGTGGGTGCAGGGTCCCAAGGCTTTGAACTGTCCTCGACTGCCCTACCAGGCCACAAGCAAGATGCTGGACGGGAAGCAGGGCTGCCGGAATTAGAACCAGTACCCATATGGGATCCCGGTGGCTTAAGGCGAGAACTTTAGCTGTTAGGCCACCGCACCGGGCCCAGAAATAAATTTTCAAAAACATTTCTAAAAGCACAAGAAAGCTGAAATTGTCAGTAACTTTCTTTTTCCCCAGAATCTCTTCTAGGAAAAATTCATACTTTGATATAAATCTGAGTCTTTTTCAACTGAGTAACAGCCTGGTTCATGGAAAGATCTTGTTTACTGGGGCTGGTGCCGTGGTGAGGTATATTAAGCCCCACCTGCAGCACTGGCATCCCATAGGCGCACCAGTTTGAGTCTCGGCTGCACTTTTTCCAATCTAGCTCCCTGCTTATGGCCTGAAGCAAAGCACGGTTCAAGTCTTTGAGTTCCTACATCCAAATGGGAGACCCAGGGGAAGCTCCTGGCTCCTGGTTTCAGATCAGCTCAGCTACGACTGTTGTGGCTTCTTGGGGTGTGAATCAGTAGATGGAGGGTCTTTCTGTTTCTCCTCTCTGTAAATCTGCCTTTTAGATAATAAATCTTACCAAAAAAAAACACAAAAAACAAAAACAAAACAACAACAAAACCTTACTTAGCAGGACTTTGAAAGCAAAGAACCAAAGAAAAAAAGGAGAAAGCCGCTGCTGTTGAGGCCCAAACCCTCGGGTGCTGCCTGGCCAGCGGCCTCTGCCCAACAAGTACCTGGCTCCTCTGGCTGCAGGTGCTGGGCAGGGCACTCCGCCCAAGGCTGGCAGGTCCAGGGCTGCCCCTCCAGTGGCACCCTGATTCGGCAGTCTTAAAGGAAGCTGATCAACGGCGATCCTGCCCGGTGCAGTGGCTGACCAGTGTCTGCATCCAACAAGAGCCACTGCTATTCCTCGTCTCCCCTCAGGATTTTATTGCAAGAACTTTATGCTTTTACAAATGGAATCAGAAACAATGCTGAAAGGGTTCTCCAACAGGAATGAACACCGCTCCAGTATTCTTCACATTCTAATTTAAAATATGGATTCAGATCCTGGGCACTTGGTGTGTGTTTGTCTTTAATCCATTTTCAGTTCCCAGGGCATACACAGGCACTTTGGTACCTAAATACAGTATCTTTAACGACTCCTTCCAGCACCCCCAACACAGAGACATTTTGCATTTCTAATTTGCTTGGTACACAGGCAACCAATGTGCATAATTGAACTGCAAATGGAAGCGTGCTTGCTACTTTAGTGAAATTAGAATTCAGTGAAGGTTATAAAAATATTAAACTTAATATCATATTACAGGAAGCGTTAAGTATTTTTGATGGGCCCATAATTTTACCACTTCACCTGCCGTATCCACTGGCAAACATGGTTTGGAATATTAATGGAAAATTCCCTCATTATTAAACTGCAGTATTAAACAAAAATTTCACAACCACTAATGGCTTAACACAAAGACATTCTCAGAAATTATCTACCTTAAAAATATCTCCCCACCATACAGTCCAGAAAACAGATTTAATTCTGCAAAGCTAGAACAAACGGGGAGACCCCTGGCCGCCACAAACAATTCATTCATTCAAAGTTTGACTTTGCTTGCGTCTGACTCTCAAAGGGAAAATCCAGTCTGCTGGTCTGCAGCCTGCAGGAGTGTGCCTCTTCCGCTGAGCTCCATCCTCCAGGGGCAGGGGCCACAGCCAAGGCCTCCAGGCTCACAGGCACAAGCACCAAGTGCCCCAGCCGCTCCCAGGCGCTGCCCAGCCTGCAGGCAGCTATCCTGAGGACACAGAATAAGGGCCCCCACATTCACCTCTATCTCCAGACACGTATGTTTGCCCAGCTGCTCCAGCTGCGAGTGCTCTAACAGGTTCTAAGTCGGACAAAAGGAGACGGCCTACATTTTGCAGCAAATGTGAACGCTCTGGAGTGGCAGGCCATCTGAAAGGTGAGGGCGAGTGCCCTGGCCCCGAGGAGGCGACCCTGTGCCTTCCAGGCAGACACACATCCTCACCATCCTCACCTACCCTCCTCCTCGCTCCTCCACAGCCTCTCCTAACACCAGCCTTTGCAGGGGTGTCCTCCTCTGGCATCTGTGACATTCTGTGGGCAGACAGAATGATGCTGGCAGGATTTTACATTAATGTGATGGCCACCTTCTTAACAACTGCTTAAAGATTTACCGGTAGCTTTTCACAAAATAGTAAATCCATAGCATAGAAGAAAAAAAAGTCACGATACTTCTCTCAAAGTTAGGAAAGACCTGGAATTAACTTGACTCTAGAAAGCAATTCAGGATCTGGTGCAATGGCTCAGTGACTAAATCCTCACCTTGCACACGCTGGGATCCCATATGGGCGCTGGTTCTAATCCCAGCAGTCCCACTTCCCATCCAGATCCCTGCTTGTGGCCTGGGAAAGCAGTCGAGGACGGACTAAAGCCTTGAAACCCTGCACCTGGAAGAGGCTCCTATCTCCTGGCTTCGGATCAGTTCAGCTCCAGCTGTTGTGGCCACTTGGGGAGTGAGCCAGTGGATGGAAGATCTTTCTCTCTGTCTCTCTTCCTCTCTGTAGATCTGACTTCCCAACAAAAATAAATAAATCCTTGAAGGCAATCCAAACACTATATCATCTCTCCTCTACAAAAACTCCCAGTTTCTGTCAAAATTAGTGGAGGATCAAGGTGATGCCCCCTCTGCCTCTGGGTGAGGCAGGCCATCTTTCCGGGGACCCAGAGGGCTGATGACGCTTCCCAACTCCAGCGCAGAGGCCACGCAGGCACCTGGGGAGGGCAGCAGGGAAGGCAGCCTGACCACTGGCATCCTCCCTCTCCCAAAGGACTCTGGAAGCTCCACACACTCACCACAATGTCACTGTGCAGGTGCATGCTCAAAGGTCAGTGGACAGGGCAGTGCCTACACACACAGCACCCTCTCCCTGGCCCAGCAGCAAGACTGTTGGGGTGGAAGGCAGGGGGACAGAGGTGTGTGTGGCCAGATTTCCTCAAGCACCGAGATAAATGCCAAGTGAAACCAAAGCAGCCTCTTCCTGCCCAGGCAGAGGCCTCCACACACGCAGCTGCTCACTGTCCCTGTGGGGTCAGCTTCTCACTAACTCTGCTTGAACCAAGCCCCGAATCAAGACCAGGTGACCCTAAGCGGCACAGCCCCCTTCCACACCTTGCATGCTGACCTGAAGAGTGAAGGTCAGGACCACACACTTGATCTCCCCTAAGCAGGTGACCAGCAACCAGGGGCCTGCATTTCCCCAGCATGCCACATCTGGAGAGCATGGCTTCACCACTGGGCAGACTAGGCACTCACTAGCTTCCTGCCCCATGCCCACCACACGTGTGTAGGGCCAGTACAGAAGCTCCGAGGCCACTGCCGCTGCCACCCCACTTCTCCTGCATAATAACTCGATTCCGGTGGCTGGTGCTATGGTGTAGCGAGTGAAGCTGCTACTTGCAACACCAACACCCCACACAGATGCCAGTTCAAGTCCTGCCTTCGGCTGCTGCTAAGGCACCTGAGAAAGTAGCAGATGACAGCCAAGGTGCTTGGGTTCCTGTAGCTCCATGGGAGGTGCAGAGGAGTGCCCTGACTGTGGAACTCTGGTCATGCAGGGAAGGAACCTGAAGACGGACGATCTGTCGCTCTCTCTTTAACTCCGCCTTTCAAGTAAATATAAAAATCTTTAAAGAAGAAGAACAAGAAGAAAGCCTAGAACTTAAACAATTAAAGCCCACGTTTCAGAGTTCCAATGAGGACCTGCGGGCTCAGAGAAGCACCCTCCGGAGAGGCCAGTGAACACAGGGAGGAGCAGAACGGAGACACCAGGCATCTCATCTCCAAAGAGGCGAGCCATCTCGGAAGTGTCAAACAGATGACCAAATGTCTCACAGTCAACACCTACCATGGCAAAGCCAGCAGGAGCTCACGGAAAACCAAGGCCCCAGAAGTCTCACAGACTGAGTCAGGGTGATTTCAAGGTAAACACGCCCTCCCCATGGTTCTTCCGGGACTCCAGCAGTCCTAATGAGATACCAGGTTATTTCATTTAAACTCCAAGCCACTGGTTCCACCTGTCTTCACACAGAAGCCATTCTTCACTGTACACTCTGCCTGCATCTTCTCCAAGTTGGACCAGGGAAGGCATACACACACTTCCAGAGAGAAGTGGTGGAGGTCTGCCACACCCCACACCCATAGCATACACTCTGAACTGCAGGCCAGCCCCCTTGGCTCTCAGCACCCTGAACTGCAGGCCAGCCCCTCGGCTCTCAGCACCCTGAACTGCAGGCCAGCCCCTCGGCTCTCAGCACCCTGAACTGCAGGCCAGCCCCTCGGCTCTCAGCACCCTGAACTGCAGGCCAACCCCTCAGCTCTCAGCACCCTGAACTGCAGGCCAACCCCTCAGCTCTCAGCACCCTGAGCTGTATGCAATTAGCAAAGTGAGCTACCAATCACTGGGAATGACACAGACTTCATGTCAGAAATCACTTAGCTTAAATAAGAAAATAACTCCATTTTGCTTTCTCCCACAAAGTAAAATTAAGTTTGTTTAGTCTTTTTTTATTTATTGCCAAAGGACAGATTCAATTTCCAGGGAGTAAAAACCAAACTTATTCTGAAGTTAAAGCCCAAGTCACCACTTTGATTTTCCTCTAACTGTTGGGGCGCAGCAGCTGTGAGCGCTGAGACGGGGCAGAGGGGTATCACAGAGGCAGAGCTGGAGGTGATTATGCAACTCCAGGAAGACCCCATCCCCTTCCTTTGCTCCAGGCTGGCCCAGGGCCTTGCAAGCCCCAGCACTTACCGGACACATTGATGGAGGCCCCTGCGTCGATGACCCCGCTGTTGGGGCGCACGCAGTACCTGCGAGGGGCCGTGGTCTTCACTTTGAAGCACACATTCCGATCTGTCGGGTTGCCCAGCTTCAGGTTGGTGGTGACGACATCGGTGAAGGGCCCTGCGGAGTGAAACGTGGGCTGACTGCATGTCTGAGGGGGGAATGGCGCAGCACGTGGTGAGGGAAGGGCCAGCATGACCTCACCAACATGGAGGGCTGGGGGCACCAAGGTGTGGGTTCCAGCAGTCACTGCTTCCTGGGGTCCCCACACGGCACCTCACCAGAGTAACTGCAGTGGGGCACAGGAGAGACTGAGGCGCAGAAACACCTGGCCCAAGCCCTCATGCCAGCCAGCGGTAGTCCCGACCTGCCAGCCAGCTCAGCGCTGATACCTGCACGGGTGAGTGAAGACCAGCAGAGGCTGCACCCAGAATGATCGCCCAGGGCCAGGGAAGGCCAAGGGTCTGCTGCTCTCAGGTCAGCTGGGGGCTGTGAGAGAAGGCCCAGGCCCCGCCGGGCAGCCACCAGCCTGGCTCAGCTGAGTTGCACTCCCTTCAAGCAGCCCAGGCCATTGGAAGACAAAAACCAAGCTCGGTGCCCTCAGGATATTTTTCATTACTATTATTTATTCATTTCCTACTTTATTAGATTTTTTAATTAAAAAAGTAAAACATGCTTCTTAGAACAAACTAAACAATAAAAGATGCATAAGGAGCAAGTTAATAAGCTTTTCCCTTGTCCCCTGAGGTAGCTGATATTAATAATATGGAGATCTCGCCACGTCATCTATGCATACACAAACAGCACAGACACATACACTGGGGCGGGGTTGGGAGCAGGAGGACAGAAACGAGCCCCTGCATTGCACACTGCCTTTTGCAATCACCAGACCCCGAGCAAGGGGGCTGAACCACAAGGCCCTGCAGGTCCTTTTCTACCCCTTGCAAACCCGCCCCGCAGTGCCTCCTCCAGGGGAGCTCTTTGCTCCCCTCAAAGGAAACAGGAGATGGGTATGGGGAAGGGGTGTCTTCCTGGCTCAGCTTGTCTGTCCCACTAAGCCTCTACAAAGGTACCCCCAGCTGTGCTCTGAGAAGTGGGCCCTGAGTTACAGCTCCTGAGGACAAGGACGGGGCCTTACCCACCTCATTCAGGCTCAGTCGCCAGAAGGAAGCTACCTGTGGATTAGCCGGAGCAAAATCAAAACTCCTGGCAGCTTCCTGGAGGCTCAGAGTGTGAGAATCAATTTGATATGGGTTTAACTTAAACGCAAATTAAGAAATCAATAATGAAGAAAAGGAAGAAAGGAAAAGGGACTCAATTTAAAAATCAAATAAACTACAGCCAGTTACGCCATAAGGCTTATTTATGAAACACAAATTTGTTCCAAAGTGACTGACGTGCATATTAAGGGGACAATCTGAGCATAAAACAATGTTCACATTTGTCTAAGCTTGTACCAGGTAAATACAGAAAACCATACCCAGCTGAACCCAGCTGCAGAGAAATGCAGCAAGCATACACCATGGCCCTGCCGGAGGTGACCACCCGCTTCGTCCCTCTGCTCCCAGCAACGTGCGCTCAGCCCAGAGGTGAGGGTCAGCCTCTGGCTGCAGTGCCCCGAGCCCGCCCCACATCCCCTGGCCATCACCATCACAGGTGCTGGGCTCTGCGTGGAGGTGAGGGTCAGCCTCTGGCTGCGGCGCCCCTGGCCCACCCCACATCCCCTGGCCCCCACCACCAGTGCTAGACTCTGCGTGGAGGTGAGGGTCAGCCTCTGGCTGCGGCGCCCCTGGCCCGCCCCCACATCCCCTGGCCCCCACCACCACCACCACCACCACCACCGGTGCTGGGCTCTGCGTGGTAGAGCTGTGGCAGCATGAGCGGTTCCAACCAGGTCCCTCTTGGGCCTGGATCATCCAGCTGCCTGTGGGTGCCAATTCACTTGCCTGGACACTTCAGGAAGGCACACCTGGATTCACTGATCAGCAGACAACACTCCTGATCACCAACCATCCAGCAGTGAGTGATGCTAAAAGGGTTCTCATTCCCTGAGTGAAAACCCAAGAATGAAATTCCCAGAGAGTTCACCTGCTTCTGGGGGGCAGGGAGCTGGAAGGCTCCTGTGGGAAAGCTGGGAAAGGCAACATCCTTGGTTTCTCATCTCACCTGGACACTAGTCTAAGAGGCCTAGGAGGATGTGCAGCCATGCTGGAAAACCAGACTGCCAGGGCGCAACCCTTGCTGCAGTGTCGTGGCCCCGAGCAAGGAGCAGGACATGAGGTACAGACGCATGGTGGCAAGAGCAGCTCTCCGTGCCTCTGCCCTTCCCCAGCACAGGCAGTCTGACTCGCAACCAGTCCCTGAAGGAGGGATCGCTATAACAAGGGCAGTCAGGTCATCAGGAAAGCCGGCCACTGGAGTCAAAGGAAGCAGCAGAGAAAGCACACATACTCCCAGCCCTCTTTCACATCAACTCCAACAGAGGACACCCCTTCCGGTCCCCCCAGCCCCCAAAAAGCACAGCCCCAGCTTCAGGAGCCCCACAGAGCTGAGACAGAGAACGCCCAAAGATGTGGAAGCCCTAGACAGTGACCTTCAAGCACAAGGTGGACAGTGACACCACGCAGGGGCCTCGAGGGTTTGTAGGTAGGAGCCTGAAGTTCTCTACTTGCACAGGACTGACTGCAGAACCTGACGCCCTTGACGCTGAGCACTCCCACAGGACTGAGCACCAGCACCCCCGGGGCTGCCTGCCATGGGGACGCAGCTAACAACACACGCCCAGTGCCCCGTCTTCCTCACTTGCCGACTTAGGAAGTCGATGGGGCCTTTTCACGGAATTGAATCCAATTTTCCCGTGAACACCAAGCTGGTCGTGGAAAACTCTCCCCAGGGTCTTGTAGGGCGCGGCCATCTCCACCGTGCTTCTCCATGAGGGAGACACCAGAGGCCATCTTAATGATCAGACACACAGTTTTGCAATGAGCAAAACAGCCCACACAGTCAGACAAACAGCCCACACACATCCCAGGACTTTACACTTGGGGTCTTCTGGGCCAGCCACTTGTGTAACTCTAGAGGGGAACCATGCTACAAAGGTGGCCAAACAGCACAGCCCCCCGGGGAGACTCTAACTTGGTGAGAAAAGGCCAGCCTCTTCTCCCTACTCAGGCAATTTGCTCAGAGAATTTTATTGAAAATAAATTCTATTCAGTTGAGTAATTACAGGAGATAAAGCATGTTAGTGCCCTCCTTCCCCTCTGTATTAATGAATTAGAATACACAAAAACCTCAATAAAAATGATGCAAAGCCTTATGAGCATCATTCAGATTTTTACTAGTCACTCTCATTTCATAAAACTGCCATTTCCATTAAAGCATTATGTAAAAAATGGGATTTTACTATACCAACATGCACATGTATCACCAATGAATTTAAACACTGCTTATAAAGTACAGAGTCAGTTTTATAAATGAAAGCTACCTCAAAAGTCAGACCTTTTTTCTTTGGAGAGATGAGAAAAGTGATTTGTGCCTCTATATTTGCAACACATCCTTTAAATCACTTTTCTCTCTAATATTCTATTCCTTATTGCAGGTAATGGCTACATAAAACCAGAAAGTAAGCCTGCAGAGTGTGCAACAGGAGCCGGCGCAGAGGCCCAGCACACTGAGCTCATCCTGCAATGCTGGCCTCCCAGGCAGGCGCTGCTTAGAGTCCTGGCAGCTCCACTTCCCACCCAACTCCCTGCTTGTGGCCTGGGAAAGCAGTGGAGGACGGCCCAAAGCCTTGGGACTCTGCACGCACGTGGGAGACCTGGAGGAAGCTCCTGGCTCCTGGCTTTGGGTGTGGAGCAGCCAGAACACTCACTCACCAATGGTGGCAATGCACACGTACAGCCCCTTAGGAAGAGTGGGAGTGTCTTATAGACCAGAACAGACCATTCGAGGCAGCACTCCTGCTCCTCAGCCTCTGCTTGGATGGGCTGAACATGTGTGTGCAATCACAGATGCACACAGCAGCCCAGGAACCAGCATGTGGTGAGTAAATTGCAGAACATCCAGGAAAGCCCCCAAAAGCCCAGGAGGACCCTTCAACGCGCACTGCTGAGCACAAGAAGGCAAGGAGAAAAGCTGCAGTGTGCGCCTGCCACAGCCGAACAAGCAGTCCTCTGTCCTGTGGTGCTAGAATCATCGTTCACGTCCCATCCAGCTCCCTGCTTGTGGCCTGGGAAAGCAGTCCAGGACAGCCCAAAGCCTTGGGACCCTGCACCCATGCGGGAGACCCGGAAGAAGTTCCTGGTTCCCAGCTTTGGATCAGCTCAGCTCTGGCCGTTGTAGTAACCTGGGAGTAAACTAGCAGATAGAAGACCTTCTCTCTCTTTTTTTCTCTGTAAAACTAAATACATCTTAAAAAAAGAAAAAGAAAAGCAGTAGATTGTGTGGTCTGGGAAAGGTGAACTAGGGAGACAGCGAGAAGGGCAGAGGCTGCAGGAGCAGAGGGGAACAGCAGGGGCCCGGCCCGGGTCTGTGCGCCCAGGGAGGGTGGCTCTGCTTCATCCGGGAAGAGCACGCGCTCCAGGTGTCGCTGTCACTGTGGCCAGGGCAGGCCCGTGGCCAGGGACACAGCATGGAGGCCGCACAGGCACAGATGTGGCAGAGCGTTTGGAATTCCTTGCTTTCTGCTCACCTTTACTATAAACTTAAACCTGCTCCAAAAAGAATTGTCTAAAAAAAAGTTTGATCCTTTATATTAACTCATTTTTTGTAGCACCTCTCCCATATCTGTCATTCAGTCTTATTGATTTTTTATTTTTTGAAAGGGGCGGGGTGAGAAAGACAAGCAGAGAGAGCTAGACACACGGAGACAGAGAAACAAGAGGCTCTTCTACAGGAAGACGACCTGTCCTTCCTGGAGTTCATACCATCCTGCCATTACAAACACCTTTCCTCCGTAGCTCTCCTGGTGCAGCTTCAATACTCCAAAGTGCAACTATGGATGCTACCAGCTTGATGTATGATCTATCAGGACCAGCCTGTTCAATTTAAGCTCACCATTGCTCACTTTACAAAGATTTCTTTCACTGTGCATAAATAGAGCTGTATTATTTAATATGCCT